TTTTATTGCAGCTTCTAAAGATGGCACAGCTGGGATACCCAACCTACAACTTTATGATGTGAAAACTGGGACATGTTTGAAATCTTTCATCCAGAAAAAAACGCAAAATTGGTAAATAAATGGTTTAAAATACTAATTTTTTACATAGTGTTTTTAATGTCATCACTGTATAATATTTGTTTTCCTGATATTGATTTAAAAAAATAACTTATCAGACAAAAATCTACATTTTTAAGGATTTTGTATGTAGGAATGTAATAGAGCAAAAACTTGATCTTTCTTTCCTTTAGTATTAAGTGGAAAGGAACAATATTTCTTTTTTTTTTCTTTTTTTTTTTTTTTTTTTAAGTTAAGGTATTTCCTGGATATTTTCTAGAACCAACTTGAAGTTGCTTTTTATGAAAAATGAACATTTTGGAGTGATCTGTGTTTGAAAAGAGCTATGAATGTTTTGGTTAGTGTTGACTACTATAAAACAGTATTTCATTGTTGAAATAATTTCTTTTGAAACCAGAGTAAATATTATCAGTGTCACTAACAAGGGGCTACTGCACTCCTTCGACCTCCCAAAGGCAGTTTGCCTTGAATTCTCGCCCAAAAATACTGTCCTGGCAACGTGGCAGCCTTATACTAGTAAGTATTTTCTCAGTGTAAAAATACTCTGACAGGATCAATTACGTTTAGTTGGGGGAAAAAGTTATAAAGTTTATAACCTCATAAGAAAGTAATTTGTCTTTACGATACTTTTGTGTTTGTGAATATTTGTGATCAACAGTGAATCTTGTACTCTCCAAATAAACAATGTATTGAAAGTAATTTCAAGGTCTATGGTAAGTTAGTGTAAAGAGCCCTTATGAGCTAAAGGAAAAGAAAAAGCTCAAGGGAAAATTCAGAAAGTAAATAACTGCTGGATAGAGATTTCTGAAGATTAAGAATAATAATGACTTTTAAAATCAAGACATTTTAAATAATTATTACGTGAAAGGAAGTACAGTAGACAGAACATCTAAGGGATGTGTATGGTATAACAGTAGAAAATGTTGTGCCATTTTCCAATATATTTAAAGGGATACCTAATGATAATATATTATATGAACATTTTATATAACTGTGTTTCATGTAATAAAATAGTTATAAGGGCTTATTTTAAGAAACATTTTCTAATAATGTTGATATGGTTGAATAAGTAAATGATAATAGGTCATTGGGTTACAAACATCCTGAGTTTTTGTTCTTTCAAAAGGCATGAACTCTAATGAATCTTATTTTTCCAAGTGAATGAAAGAGATACTGAGAATCAGTGTACAATCCATGAATGGTTTATGTCACCCTTGTTTTTTTTTTTTTTTTTTGCGTAACACAGAGCACTCTTTCATGTTGTAACCTTGTGATAGTAATCATGTCAAACTTAATAACTACGGAAATAATAATCTTCAATGTTACCAGGCAATTACTGAAAAACAAAAAGTTTGTTAATTGCACTTCTAAAGCTGGCCCAGCTGGATACCCACCTACAACTTTTATGATGTGAAAACTTGGGCATGCTTTTGCAATCTTTCATCCAGAAAAAACGCCACTTGGTAAATAAATGGTTTTTCAACATACTAATGTTTTTCACCTTAGTGTTTTTAATGTCATCACTGTATAGTATTTGTTTTCCTGATAATTGAGTTTAAAAAAAAAACATATACTTATCAGCACGAAGACATCTACATCTTTTAAGACTATTTGTATGTAGACTGTAATAGAGCAAAAACTTGCTCTCTTCTTTCCTTAGTATCGTAAGTGGAAAGGCACAATATTTCTTCTTTTTTTTTTCTTTTTTTTTTTTTGCGACGGAGGCTCGCTCTGTCCGCCCACGGGCTGGAGCGTGCGTGACGGATCTTGGCTCACTGCAATCTCCGTCCTAGGTCAAGCGATTTCCCGGCTCAGGACTTCCAAGTAGCTGGACTCACGGCGCATGCCCATGCCCGCAGGCTAATTTTGTATTTTTAGTCGAAACGAGGGTTCAACTCATTTGTCCAGGCCTGGTCCTTGAGACTCCTGACCTTCTAGGGATCCACCGCCTAGGCCGTCACAAAGTGCTGGAGTTACAGGTAGGGCCACTGTGCCGACTTTTCTATTAACCATCCACTATTGGACTACAACCTATTAGTAAGCTTGACTCTGATATCATCAGTTTCCAGCGTGTTTATAAGTGTTTTTCCTTAAATAGTAACCAGTATCATAAATTACTTTAACATGTTAATGTGATGTTACATTCCGTCTGAATGTTTTTTATACTTTTTTTTTTTTGACATAGGTGTCCATCCTGGTCAGAAGATGAAACTCTTTGTGCCCGCAATGTTAACAATGAAGTTCACTTCTTTGAAAACAACAATTTTAGTATGGAAAGATATATGACATAATTTTATTACTTACTGTAATCGTATACAGTTTTCATTAACTTTTATGACACCATAGGGTTTTCCTAAATACTGTTAATTTATTAATCAATAATTGCTATTACATTCATTTTCATAATTTTTTATAAATCTGAATTCAGTGAAAATCTATAACACAAAGTTTTTCTTTTACAATAACTTTTCATTATCTGATAATTGCTATTAAGACATTTGAATATCTTTTCCTGAAAGTAATTGCTATTGAAATTCTGTGACACAAATTTTTTAGATATTTTATACTGTAGAATTTTAAACATAAAACTTTAGACACCTAGTCCTAACATCAGCTTATGGCCAGTCATCCATGCATCTCTCCAGCTACCATCTCTCTTACTAAGTGAAAGCAAATCCCAGACGTATAATTTTATATACTTGTTAAATATATAATTGTAAATATTTCAGGGTAGATTTCTGAAGATTGGGGCCTTTCATTTTTTAAACTTAGCCACAAAACCATTATCACAAATTATTAAATATGTGTTCAAATTTCTACTACTTGCAAATGTTACAATTTTTTTAAAACTCAGGATCCAAATAAGGTACTGCACATTGTGGTTGGTTGATATATCTTTTATGTTTCTTTTGGTCCTATAAGTTCCCACACCATCTGTTTTTTTTTTTTTTTTTTATTCTTCATAATTTATTGTTCAAGAAACAAGGTTATTTGTCTTGCGTATTTTCCCATAGTTTGAATTTTGCTTTTGTATCCCATGGTATAATTTAACATGTTCGTCTGTCCCCTATAAATTGCCAGTTAACTCTAGAGTTGGTCAGCTTCAGGTTCTTTTTTAAATGAGTAAGGGTAAGACTACATTGTAGGGTGATGTTCACTTCTTTTATCAAGAAGCACATAATGTCTGGTTGTCTTTAATTTTTAGGGTTAGCTGACAATGTTTCATGCCTAGATGCATTATTTCATCAGTGGTTGCAAATTGTTGATATTCTGGTGTTTTCTCCCTCCCTTATTTTTCAGCTGTACTGCCTCTATAAAGAAAAATTTCCCCTTCTACTATTTGGTTACCTAGTGCTGCATTTATATAGAAAAGGCAGGATCAATATTCTTGCTTTTATCAGTTTTAATATAATGTATTCTATCTCTAGCAACCTTCATTGTAACCAATTAGCTTTTTCCCCATTCTTGTTTTTTGAGAGTGGGCCTCATTCGTTTGTCCAAGCTGAGCGCAATCATGGCTTGCTGCAACCTCGACTTCCAAGGCTCAAGCAATTCTCCTGCCTCAGCCTCCCAAGTAGCTGGGACTACAGGCTTGCACCACCACACCTGGCTAATTTTTGATTATTTGTAGAAACAGGATCTCACTGTGTTGCCCAGGCTGTTTTTTAGTTCCATTCTTTTTTTGTTTTGTTTTGTTTTGTTTTGTTTGAGAAGGAGTTTCACTCTTGTTGCCCAGGCTAGAGTGCAAAGGTGCGATCTCGGCTCACTGCAACCTCTGCCTCCCAGGTTCAAGCGATTCTCCTACCTCAGCCTCCTGAGTAGCTGAGATTACAGGCATGTGCCACCACGCCCAGCTAATTTTATATTTTTAGTAGAGATGGGATTTCACCATGTTGGTCAGACTGGTCTCGAACTCCCGATCTCAGGTGATCCACCTGCCTGAACCTCCCAAAGTACTGGGATTACATGCATGAGCCACCGTGCCTGGCCTTTTTAGTCCCATTCTTAATGTGGATTGAAAATATATGTGTTTCAGTCCATTGTAGTTATTTTTCTTATGGATGCTCAAATTGTCTCATCATTGACCAATTAGTCTTTAGTGACTTCTTTGCTATATGGTAAGAAAAGTCATTCTAGGATTAATTTGTACATTTCTAACCATTACACCTAGAACTGGCTAATTTTTCAGGAAACCCTATCTCCTTTTTGGTGTGCTACTTTTGAATAGCTATTGATCTCTGAAATTGAACAAATAAAAGTATTAGCTCTTGATCTCAGTAAAGGAAACATTAAAAGGAAATGGGGTTTCTTGAAAAATTGGCTGAGTCTAGCAAAAAAAGTTGTATTTAGGTTCTAGGGATTCTCATTAGCTGTTGCATTGGTCATTGTTTCTAGGCATTTTTTTCTATTTAAAAAATGTAACAATCATAGTTTTTTTAAAATTAAAGTTTTATGCTTATAGTTTTATTTAAATTAAAGACTACAAGGTTTTTATTTAACTTCTTCTATCTTATTTGTATTGCCTTTTGTTACCACCAAGAATCTTGTTTCTCTGGAATACCAGGGATGATAATTTGAGAATATCACATTCACATAAGCGTTCATTTGGTTTGTTCCACATTATCCATAGGGTATTCTTAGAATCTTAATACCAAAAAGTGACACTATTGCTGAAAATAATTTTTTAAAAAGGGTTTGCAGTTATTTTTGTCTTTAGAGCATCCCATTACTGATTGTACAGTTTTGAGTATATCATAGTTAGAATAGGAATTGGTAACTTTGTTCACACATACCAAAGATGGCATGTAGGCTGATTTTGAGCAATATCCAATCAGTATAATTATGCCTTTCATTTTCCTGTGTTTGAGGCGCACTGTCACCTCGCTGTTTCAGGGTTAACTTGCTTTCTTGTCTGATTCGCCTCTTTGTGAGCATGCCAAATGAAGAGGGATCATCACTTTGACAGTTTGGTGCACTGCGTTTGAAAAGCCATTGATCTCTGAAATCAAACAAGGAAAGTATAGTAGCTCTTGATCTAATTAACTAGGGTAGCAGTTTTATTAATAGCAGCATGGTTTGGACTGCTCTTAATATCAGCCATTGTTACTATGGTTGTGATCATCGTTATCATGCATCTGTTTATCACATTAAGTTATAGAATTTCCATATCCACATTCTGCAGTAGCAGGCCAAGGTTGATCTTTTCCTTCTAATAGGCTCTAAGATCACTTTATTTCAGCGATTGAAGAGAGGATAACTGACATTTATCAAATACCTACCATGTGCCTGGCACTGTTCTCTTAAAACCAATTACTGAGAGTTGGGTGGTATAATCGCATTACTTGCCTGAGCTCACACTGCAAGTAAATGACTGAGTAGAAATTGAAGCCTACATTTGTCTTGCTCCTACCCCATGCTTTTTCCACTGTGTTACTGTGTGTCACCAGCAGGAGACTACAGTGAGTACTATTAGTGTGTAGTTATAGTAATCCTTTATAATGTATTCAGAGTTTAACATGTTCCTTTTAGCCTCTCTCATCAATCTGATTTAATTTACTCTTTTTTTTAGACACAATTGCAAATAAATTGCATTTGCAAAAAATTAATGATTTTGTATTATCACCTGGACCCCAACCATACAAGGTAATTGCTGTTTTTGTTTAAGTGGAATATTATGTGTTTAAACCTTTTCCTAGTTTTTTGTGACTGTAAAAACATGTCCATCTCAGTTTTTATTCTCAAAAAATTAAGTAATGATTTATGTGTGTATCTTAGGTGGCTGTCTATGTTCCAGGAAGTAAAGGTGCACCTTCATTTGTTAGATTATATCAGTACCCCAACTTTGCTGGACCTCATGCAGCTTTAGCTAATAAAAGTTTCTTTAAGGCAGATAAAGTTACAATGCTGTGGAATAAAAAAGGTATGCTAAGTATATTTTATCCCTCTTGTTTACCAGTTGTTAATTTAGGCTATATTCCTATGCATATAACAGAAGAATCAATGCCCATGTAATTTGTGTTTTAAATCTAATTAAAGTTTTTACTGTTATAGCTACTGCTGTGTTGGTAATAGCTAGCACAGAAGTTGACAAGACAGGAGCTTCCTACTATGGAGAGCAAACTCTGCACTATATTGCAACAAATGGCGAAAGTGCTGTAGTGCAATTACGTGAGTATTCCAGCAGTCTTCCTTTGATTAGAAACAATGGTAGTAAAAAATACTATGCCATAAAGATGATATAATCTAAATTCTTGATCAAAAGATAGAATTCAAATACCTTAATAACCTTTAAGATAAAATTCTTCTTAATTAAGAAACTTAAAATCATCCTCAAACATACCTTATTTTGGCAGAATACAGTTAGTTATTTGAGTTATGCCAGCGTTTTAGAAGTAAACTTCCTGAGTGAGGTAATTCCGTTGTAGTAGCTCTTTTGGAGCTTACTTAGCTAATTATGACAGCAAATTGCTTAATACTATCTTTAGAATTGTTAGTAATATCCAAGAGGCCAGGCATGGTGGCTCATGCCTATAGTTCCAACACATTTTGGGAGGCTGAGATGGGAAGATCATTTGAGCCCAGGAGTTCAAGACCAGCCTGATCAACATAGTGAGACCCCGCCTCTACAAAAAATAGAAAAACTTAGCTAGGCATGGTGGCATATGGCTGTAGTCCCAGCTCCTCAGGAGACTGAGGCAGGAGGATCACTTGAGCCCAGAAGTTCAAGGCTGCAGTGAGCTATGATCGTGTCACTGTACTTAAGCCTGGGTGAAAGCCCGTCTCAAAATAATAATATCCAAGAATGTTACCACTTCATCTGTTGTTTTAATGAACTAAAACTTTAAAATAATAGTTTTAAAATACTGACAGCTTCCTAATTTTCTCATTTTGAATTGAACTTATGTAAGTAGGGTAATCTACCTTTTAAAAAACTGTATTTCCATTGAAGTCAAAGAAAAAACAAGGATGGCTCCCCTTTTCACTTTATTTTAATAACATTCTGAAATACCTAGTCACTCTAACTAATCAGCAGAAGTAGAATATATACAGTTTTGAAAGAAAACAAAATCATCTCTGCTCATGTAGTTGAAGTCACACTATAACCAACAACTACTTTAAAAAAATAAAAGATTCCATATATAGCAAAAAAATAATAAGAACAAATATATAGGGCCAATGGGAAGAAAACTTTAAAACTCTTCAGAGAGACAAACTATGGCCTTTACTAAGAAGAATTATTTTTATAAAGATGTCATTTCTCTGCTATCAATCTAAAACTAAATTTAAATGCTGACTGATTTTTTTTTTTTTTAACTAAATAAACTGGCTCTAAGGTTGGTGTTGAAAAATGAACACACAAGAGTATTTTGGAAACTTGTGTAAAAGAAGAGCAGGGCAGGGGAAGTTATCTGGAGTTCTGACACTACCAGATATTAAAATGTACCCAGCACTTTGGGAGGCTGAGGTGGGCGGATCATGAGGTCAGGAGATCAAGACCATCCTGGCTAACATGGTGAAACCCCATTTCTACTAAAAAGACAAAATTTAGTTGGGTGTGGTGGCACGTGCCTGTAATCCTAGCTACTCAGGAGGCTGAGGCATGAGAATTGCTTGAACCCAGGAGTCAGAAGTTGCAGTGTGCCAAGATCACGCCACTGCACTCCAGCCTGGTGACAAAGCGAGACTCCGTCACAAAAAAAGAAAAGTAAGGCAATTGTAATTAAGACAGTTTGGTTGTGGTATATGGATATACTGGTAAAACTGATAAATCAGTGGAAGAGAACAGAGTCCAGAAATAGATCCATACTTTTGTAGACATTAATATATGATAAAGTCAGCATTTGAATCAGTGAATCAATGGTGGAGAAAATATTGATCATTTAATATATGGTTTGGGACAACTGGCTAGTCATTTGAAACAAAAGGTTATTATCTTCTTCACCAAAATAAATTCTGGTTGGGTCAAAAACTTATACATAAGACTGCAGAGGAACTAGAAGAATATATGGGAGAATTTTTTTTTCTAATCTTAAGAGTAGAAAAAGACTTTTTAAACAAGACAGAAGTACTAAGGGGGAAAATGATGAATTTGACCATAGAAGAATAATGGGTTATTGCAGTAAGAGAAGAAAAGCATCCATAAATTAAACAAAATGAACAAGAATTTGGAGAAAATATATTTTTTAAATAGTCAAGTGATGTGTTATGAGAAAGGGTAAATGTTCTTAATATATCAAGTAAGCCAAGTAAAAGACCAATAATTGGAGAAAAATAAAATAGGCGTAGGATAGTAAAAATTAGTCCTCAGAGCCAGTGTGGTGGCTCATGCATATAATCCCAACTATCTAGGAGCCTGAGGTGGGAGGATTGTGTGAGCCCAGAAATTTGAGGCTGCAGCAAGCTAAGATCCCACATCTGTACTCCAGCCTTGGTGACAGAATGAGACCATCTCTTTAAAAAAAAGAAAAAAAATCAGCCCTTAGAAAAAGAAATAAAATTACTTATGTTAAAAGATGCTTAACTTATAATTAAAAAAATAGAAATGAAAACAAGATAGATATTTTCACTTAATAGGCTGATGAAGATAAAAATATGAAACTACACAGTATGGTTGAAGTATAGTGAGGGGGAAGCCTGCCTGCATCATCAAAAACTGCTGATAGAGGTTAGGCACAGTGGCTCTTGCCTATAATCCCAGCACTTTGGGAGGCTGAGGCAGGTAGATCACCTGAAGTCAGGAGTTCACAACCAGCCTGACCAACATGGTGAAACCCCATCTCTGCTAAAAATACAAAATTAGCCCTGCGTGGTAGCTCATGCCTATAATCCCAGCTACTCAGGAGGCTGAGGCAGGAGAATCGTTTGAACCCGGGAGGCAGAGGTTGTGTTGAGCCCAGACCGTGCCACTGCACTCCAGCCTGGGTGACGAGAGTGAAACTCCATCTCAAAAACAAAAAAAAATTCTGAAAGGATATCCAAGAAATATAACATAGGGTTGCCTTTGTGTAAAGTGACCTGTGTTTGTGGCTTTTTTTTTTTTTTTTTTTTGAGATGGAGTCTTGCTCTGTCGCCGAGGCTGGAGTGCAGTGGCGCGATCTTGGCTCACTGCAACCTCTGCCTCCCAGGTTCAAGTGCTTCTCCTGCCTCAGCCTCCCGAGTAGCTGGGATTACAGGTGCATGCCACCATGCCCCACTAATTTTTCTACTTTTAGTAATGATGGGGTTTCACCATGTTGGCAAGGCTGGTCTCAAACTCCTGACCTCAGGTAATCTGCCCACCTCGGCCTCCCAAAGTCCTGGGATTATAGGCATGAGCCACTGCACCTGGCCTTTTGTGCCTTTTTAAAAAATATAGGGCACAGTGGCTCATGCCTATAATTCTAGCACTTTGGAATGCCAAGGCAGGAGGATCCCTTGAGCCCAGGAAGTCGAGGCAGCAGTGAGCTTTGATCATGCCACTGCACTCCAGCCTGGGCCACAAAGTAAGATCCCATTTCTATAAATAAATAAATAAATAAAATAGTTTGTATTTTGATTACCGTCTGCACGTATTACCCTTTCCAAAAAAAATGTTTATTAATAGTAACTATTACTATAAGGCCATATTACCAAAATGTTTAAAAGACATTAAGATTCAGTAGGGGTTCTTAAATATAAATTTATGATTATACATTAATCGCCCTAGTATATAAGAGTATTTTAATGTTAACATTCCTTGAAATTTTTTTATCTGTTTGATGCATTCGTGAGTACTATGTGATGGTAACTTTTGCTAACAAATATTTATATAGTTCTTTATTGCTAATTTGGGCTTTATATTCTTTTTCTAGCAAAAAATGGCCCCATTTATGATGTAGTTTGGAATTCTAGTTCTACTGAGTTTTGTGCTGTATATGGTTTTATGCCTGCCAAAGCGACAATTTTCAACTTGAGATGTGATCCTGTATTTGACTTTGGAACTGGTCCTCGTAATGCAGCCTACTATAGCCCTCATGGACATATATTAGTATTAGCTGGATTTGGAAATCTGAGAGGACAAATGGAAGTGTGGGATGTGAAAAACTACAAACTTATTTCTAAACCAGTGGCTTCTGATTCTACATATTTTGCTTGGTGCCCAGATGGTGAGCATATTTTAACAGCTACATGTGCTCCCAGGTTACGGGTTAATAATGGATACAAAATTTGGCACTATACTGGCTCTATCTTGCACAAGTATGATGTGCCATCAAATGCAGAATTATGGCAGGTTTCTTGGCAGCCATTTTTGGATGGAGTATTTCCAGCAAAAACAATAACTTACCAAGCAGTTCCAAGTGAAGTACCCAGTGAGGAACCTAAAGTTGCAACAGCTTATAGACCCCCAGCTTTAAGAAATAAACCAATCACCAATTCCAAATTGGTAAGTAAAGTTTTACTACTTTTATAGAAAAAAGTTTTATTTTGGGCTAGGAGTGGTGGTTCACATCTGTAATGCCGGCACTTTGGGAGGCCGAGGTGGAAGGATCACTTGAGGTCAGGAGTTTAAGACCAGACT